AATCTCACTAATTCTGTCATCCATTGATTCAATTCTACTCCTTTGCCTTCAGTTCTACTCCTTTGCCCATTTAGTGTCTCATCTATTTCTGCAAATTTAGTATTAATCTTCTGGATTTCTATGTGTAGATTTTGTATCCTTTCTAATTTTTCATTAATTTTGTTCTTGTATTGTCTTTTGAAATTGTTTCTCTGTGTTTTCCTCAATTTTGTCAGTGTTTTCCTTGATATATCTCTTAATTCGTTGAAGATACCTAAATATAATTCTTTTGAATTCCTTATCAGGGAGTTCCAGTGCTGTGTCTTCCTCAGGGATGTGTTTTGGGTGTGTATCCTGGTTCCTTGTTTCTCCTGCTTTATCTTGCTTCTGTGTGTGTGCACTGTGATGCCCTCTTGTCTCCGAGGCATTATGACTTTTTTGTGTTTATGTTTAAGATGATTGTATGTTGAAGTGACTTGCCTATGAGCTCTGCTCCTCTGTTTCCTAGTTGGCAGCACTTACATACTCACTACCTCTCTCCTTTCCCATTATCAGCTTCCCGTATGTCTCTGCTGTCCTTGACAAACGGAGCTTAATCTTAGGTCCCTGGAATCTGTATGACAATGCTGTCACTTTAAAAACCCAAAATGGCCACTGCTTGTAAAGATTCAGAATATCTGCACCCTCAGTCACTGTAAATATCCAAAATGGCTGCTGCTTGTACACATTCAAAATGATGCTCCCTCTGTCGCTGTAAATATCCAAAATGACTGCCGCTTGTTAACAATCAAAATGGCTGCACCCTCCAGACAATGGAAAGTCCACAGCTCAAGTTTGTCTCCCTCCTTGCTGTTTCCCTTCCTAGTCAAAAGGCCACCAACACAGTTGTGCCTGCAGCCGTTGGCAACCAGGGCTGATCTTAGGTCATTTCTCAGGTCCCAACACCAGTTGGAAATATTCAGGCTGTTGGTCCTGTCAGAGTAGCTGACGGTCCACTGCTCTGACTGTCTCTGTACTCACTGTTTTCATTCAGGTTTTTCCACTAGTTGGTGCCACTTCTGAATACTTCCTTTCAGAGTTTAAGGCTCCAGGATTATCTTCTGTATCTCTGTCAATTGGGTTTCTTTTTGCTTTGTTGAAGAGGGTCTGTGTAGCTTGTCTGCCTATTCCTCCATCTTACTGGAAATCTACCCAGGCATTCTTAAGGAGGGTATTTTTCAGTTTCTATGTGTTGGCTCTCTTTCTGTTCATCTTCTTATTGTTGATTTCTAATTTTATAGCATTGTGATCTGAGAAGATGCTTTGCTGTATTTCAATGTTTTTAAATTTATTAAGGCTTACTTTATGGCCTCATATATGGTCTATCATGGAGAATGTTCCATGTGCATCTGAAAAAAAATGTAAATTGTGCTGTTGTTGGGTGAAGTACTCTGTAGATGTCTATAAAGTCAGGTTGGTTGGTTGTGTTGTTTAGCTCTTCTGCGGCTTTGTTGAGTTTCCTTCCAGTTCTGTCTTTCATTGAAACTGGTGTCTTAAAGTCTCCTACTATGACTGTGGAGTCATCTGTTTGTCTTTTAAATTCTGTTAAAGTCTGATGTGTATGTATTTTGGGGCTCTTTCATTGGGTGCATAGATATTTATTATGGTTTTGTCCTCTTGTTCAATTCGATCCTTTAATCAATGTATAATGCCCTTACTTGTCTCTTATAGTGGCTTTTGTCTTAAAGTCAATTTTATCAGAAATTAATATTGCCGCTCCTGCTCTTTTTTGGTTGCATTCGCTTGATATCTTTTTCCAACCTTTGATTTTACTCTATTTTTGTCTTTATCTCTACGGTGTGTCTCTTGTAGACAGCATATTGATGGGTTATGCTTTCTCACCCGGTCTGCAGCTCTCCATCTCTTGAATGGTGCGTTCAGTCCATTGGCATTCAGTGTAATTATTGACAAGTATGAATTTCTTATTGTCATTTTGTTATGTGTTATTTCATGGTGTTCCTGGTTTCTTTGTTCTATATAATTTTCTGTGCTGAGTTCATTATGTTTATGAATCATGTTATAATTTACTTTGTTGCTGTTGTTTTAGTATTTGCTGATTATTTGTGCTTGTCCTCTTTTATTGTGATGTGAAGGTTTATCATTTTTCTTTGAGGTTAACCTGTGATTTATAATATTGTCCCTGAGTTTAGAACAGTCCATGCTGTCTTGCAACTCTCTTGACTTCCTCACCATTTACAAATTCTGTAACTACACTGTTTTTCCCCTTTTTGGTTTGTAGTTGCCCTCACTTGCCAATTGACGTCTCTGGTTCCCTGTTTACAGTCTTGTAACCTTATTTTACTTTGGGTATGTCCATAGCTATGTTGGTTTCTCGGTTATGTCATCTTGTGTGTTAATGGTCTGTTGTTTGCTATTATTGGTTCTCTGTTCAAAGAACTCCCTTTAGTATCTCTTGTAAGGTTGGTCTGGTTTTCACAAATTCCCTTAGTTTCTGCATATCTGGAAATCTCCTAATCTCACCATCATATTTGAGGGGCAGTTTTGTTGGGTAGCCAGTTTTTAGTTGGAAATTTTTTTTCTTTCAGTGTTTTATATACACCATCCCATTGCCTTTTCACTTGCATGGTTTCTGCCTAGAAACCCGAGCTTAGTCTTATTGGTTCCCCTCTGTAGGTAACTTTTTTTTCTTTTTTTCCATGCTGCTTTCAGGATTCTTTGTCTATGGTTTTGGTGATGATAACCAAAATAAAACCAAGCCCACTGCGATAGAGTCATGTCCAACTCATAGCGACCCCTCCTAACTTTTTTTTCTTTTTTTCCATGCTGCTTTCAGGATTCTTTGTCTATGGTTTTGGTGATGATAACCAAAATAAAACCAAACCCACTGCGATAGAGTCATGTCCAACTCATAGCGACCCCTCCTTGGGTTTCCAAGGCGGTATCACTACAAAAGTGGATTGCCCAACCTTCCTTCTGAGGAGTGGCTGGTGGGTCTGAACTGCCAGCCTTCTGGATAGCAGTCAAATGCCTTAGGTACTATGCTACCAGAGCTCCTAGATGATGATGATGTGTCTTGGTAGTTTTCTTTTGGGATCTTTCCTATTTGGGGTTCATTGGACTCCCTGAATGGATATATTCTCATCTGTCATCATATCAGGGAAGTTCTCTTCCATCAAATTTTCAACAATTTCTCGGTGGTTTTCTTTTTCTCTTTCTGTTCTGGAATTCTGATTACATGTAAGTTACTCCTGTTGATGGTATCCCACATGAGCCTTAGGCTTTCTTCATTTTGTTTGATCTTTATTCTGATTGATCCCTTTCCAAAGAAGAATTCAGGTATTTGTCTTCAGTCTCATGAATTCTGTCTTCCATTGATTCAGTTCTCCTCCTTTGGCTGTTCAGTGTGTTATCTATTTCTGAAAACTTAGTATTAATCTTCTGGATTTGTATCTGTAGATTTTGAATTGTTTCTGATTTTTCATTTATTTTTTCATTTTGTTCTTGTATTTCCTTCCAAAATTGTTCTAGGGTTTTGTCTGTGTTTTCCTTAATTTTTGTTGGCAGTGTTTTCCTTGATCTTTCAATCCTTTGATGATACCTAAGTATAATTCTTCTGAAGTTCCAATGCTGCTTCTTGCTCAGGGATGTGTTCTGCATCTGCCTCCTGCTCCCTTGTTTCTACCGCTTTTATCTTGCTGCTTTGTGTGGCTTGTGTGATGGCCTGTTATTTCCGAGACATTGTGATGTTGTTGTATTTAGATCTCTGTCAACTGTTTGTGAAGAACAGTTTAAGGGTGAGTCAGGCTCTGCTTGGTGGTTGTTTATCATTGGCCTGTTGGTGGAGAGGGAAGCCATGGCTCTCACTGAGTAAGTGGAGATAGGGATGTGGTTGCGTTGTATGGGCACGGTTGCTGTCTCCCACTCAGTTAGACAGAAACAAAAATCAAAAAACCACCAAAAAAGTAAAAGCAAGCAGACAAAACACACACCACAAAAAACATACAGGAACAATCATCAGAAGAAAAGAAAAAAAAAACTGCAATGTTTCAGGAGGGGGCAATAAGAGAAAGGGGGCAGAGTAGGAGAATAATCAAGAAAAATGGGAAAAATGCAGAAAGAAAAACAAGGAATAGGGTTAACCATGAGAAAGAATAAAATGGGAACCAGGAACAGGGAAGAGAGGAAAAGCTGAAAACTAGAACCTGGGAAGGGAAAAATTAATAATAAAAGGGATGAAAAAGAAAGAATAATAATAATTTTAAAACAGACAAAAACAAACTAAAAAAAGGGGGGGGGATCTGGGTGGGGCTGGATACCTAGGCTCTGTTGGAGCACACAGAGTGGGATGGAATTCCTGTTGGCCCAGAAGGTGGGTGGGAGTGAGGGATGGCCGCACCTTCATTCACCAAGAAGGTGTGGGGCCTAAGAGTAACTAGGGGAGTATCACATCTTTCCAGTCATTTGTGTCTGGAATATCCTTGTGGTCCCTGGTAAGTGGAGACTTTTCTTAGGTGCCTGGAATCCGAGAGAATGCTGTCACCTTAAATATCCAAAATGGTCTAACTGCTTGTAAACATTCAAAATGGCTGCACCTTTCAGACAGCCAAAATTCCACAGCTCAGCCCATCTCCCTTCTCACTGCTTCCCCTTTTATTCACCAGCCACCAGTGCAGTCCTCCATGTAGCACCTGGCTAGCAGGGCTTGATTTTTAGGTTAATTCTTACATCCTAACACAACTTGGTAATATCCATGCTGTCCGTGCCATCAGGTTTGCTGACATACCACAGCTCCACATGTCTCCTTTTTTGGTGTTTTCATGCAGGTTCTTCTTCTAGTTGGAGTTTAGTCCACTTCTGTATCCTTCCTTTTAAAACTCAGGGTTCCAGGATTATCTTCTGTATCTGTATTAATTGGTTCCCCTTTTCTTTGTTGAAGAGGATCTGTGTAGTTTGTCTGCCTATTCCGCCATCTTACCCCAGTTTGTCATGGTTAACTTTTCTTTTTCCTTGTTTTCTTTAAGGAAAAGCTTCCTGCTTACCTTGCCACCTCACCAATTCCCACTGAAGATCAGTTTTTCAAAGATGTTGACCCCCTTTTGATGAAATCCAGTGGAAATGAAAGATTACCTCAGAGTTCAGATGTCTCACACATCTTGGAAACGGAGACAGTTTTCACTCCAGGTTCTGTGAAAAAGAAAAAACGAAGGAGAAAGAAATGCAAGCAAGAAAGTAAGAAGGAAGATCAAGCTACTTTTGCTCCTGCAGAAGACTCATTTGATGTGGACAGAAGCTCAGATGATGAGAAGGGAGCCCAATCAGCAAGGTAGAGCTTACAGTTGGGAAAGGATCTTTTGTGCTGTTTCTAGGTCATTTTCTTATGCTAGGTAGCACTAAGATAAAGTGAGAAACTCTTGTTTCTTTTGTGGATTTGTAGTATGAGGCTTGGACTTATTTTTTCCCCTTGATAGTTTATTGTTAAATCAAGTGGAACGGGCATGTTCTTTTTTCCTTTCTGTAATTTTAAAAATTTTCCATCAGACATGGTACTGTGGTACTAAAATGTCGTTTATAGCAGATTGGAATGTGTTTCTTTTCATTCTATGAGTTTCTGAAAATCCTGTAAATTTCTTTAAAAAGTCATTAAATCACAAGGAAGATCTGAATTAATGACTTAACCCATAGGTTAGCACAACTTTGGTGGTGGTATTTTTCTGCTCAGTGTGGGATGTCTCACCTATTCCTGAGAAGTTGATGGGTTTTGTTTTATTTTATTTTCAAAACATGCTAACAAGTTGAATAGGAAGAAATTTTTTGGGGGGATGGGAAGATTGTAATTGAAAAATCTTAATTTTTCAATTATTTACCCAATCAATAGAAGAGCTCAAAATGTATTCCTGTTTTCAAATCAGCACTGCTTGGAATTTAAAAGGTAAGAGGAGTTGGGTAGAACATACATTTTTAAATTCAAAGTTCGATTTTTTTAAAGTCGTGCTACACCTGTTCCCTTTAGTGATTGCCCTTTACTGAGGGACCATACCTATTTCAGTGGGTGGTTCTCTTCACTGATAATCATTGGAGCAGAAGCTACTGCCCAGAATTGACCCCTTTGCATTTGCAAACCTTTTATTTGACTTGGGAGCGAGGCTCTGAGTAGCTTCATGAGGTAGATGTTGGTCCATGAATATGTTTCACCCCAGCTGCTGAAAGACAGATCATGCTCTACTTCCTGGGACATTAGTGCCATTAGAGATTTTTTATGATAAGAAAGAGAAAATAATTTCTTCCTACTCTACCTTAATCTGCTATAAATTTTATTTACCAGGTTGTTGTTTTAAATGGTCAAATAAGGAAAAAGAAATTCATAAATAATAACGTGTAAGAATCTCTTTTGGTAAAACTGTTAACTCATTTTCTAAAATTTTAAATCTAGTTTGTAAATCCTGGAACAAAACCCTATATTTGATAGTGATTTTTAATATATGGATTTTTTCCCCACTGTCGTCTTTTCTTACCAATCAACTGTCACATCTGTGGTATTCTTACTCTTCCCACATTGAATGAATATGTTAAACTTTACTTTCAGTTCTGGCAGAATGCAGAATTCCTCTGTTGGCATTAAACAACAAAAGATAGAAAGCAAATTTAAAAAGTACATTAGATGCAATAGACCAGTGTAAGCTATACCTATATAATTTTTAAATCCTAAATAAATCAACAAATCTAGATAATTTTTTTTTTATCATTATCCCAATACTAGCTGGAACACTTAATTATAAATTTTGTAATTCTACATGTATATTTTTGATTCACAAAAGATTTTAAGCTAATAATACAGTTTCTTTAATAAACAAAGGACCTTTCTCTTCCTGTTTCTTCCTTCTTTCAATCTCCTAAGGGTCATTTATTCTTATCTTCTCTAGAAAAATAAACCAGGAGAGTATGTCAGATCTTCTATTGCTTGATTTCAGGGTTGTTAAGAAAAGTGTAAATAATTCCTTTAAAAGTTTTGTTTTACAGTGAAATGTGTAACTGGACTAGAAATGTGTCTCTTGGAAAAAGAAAAAAACTTGCAGTACACAGACATTTAAATTTTATTTGAATCAGCGTTGTAGTGATTTCCTAAGTGCCTTAGTTCCTGAAAATTTTTTTGGCAACTGAAACTTCAAGATCCACCAAAAGAAAAAAAACATTGAAGTAACACTTTTGCCTGCAAAGCAGATCACTTTCTGTTAATGTGTCCTTTGTTGATACAGTAGAGCAAAGTTTAGAATTCCTGAGCAACCAGCAGCTTCAACTTGGGAAGTTAAAACATAATGCAGAATCCCCCACTACATGCACAAGAATTGTTACTCTGAAGGAATTTCATAAATGAGTGTTGTAAGTGAACACATTACAGAAATACTACGGCAGAGCATGCCTTGCTTTTCCAGATTGCATGAAAAGCTGCATCAGCCAAATCTTTAGGGGTGGTTGACAGCTTATCTCTCTGAGCCAGAACCTTGCTTGCTTGGTAAGTAGAACACATATAAACAAGAGCCTTGTAATAATTTTCAGAAGTCTGGTAGTTTGCTTTTCTTTAGGTCACCAGTGAATTTATAGATGCTGCCACTGGGAGGAAGGAACTCTTTTCTGAAATTTCCTTAAAGTAGGGTCTGCTTAATTAGGCACCCAGAGAAATTAAAAAAAAAAAAAAAACCCAGACGTGAGGTTTCAGGTTGAATACTGGAAGATGCGCTGATCTAAAAAGTGGACAGACTGGGTTCTTTCTAGTTCTGATGGTGGAGCAATAGCCTTTCAATCATGCAGAATGTGAAGAAAATTCATTTCTTAATCTCTAAGAGGATGGAAGTCTACATGGTTTGCAAGGCCCCCTCCAACTCAACATCAAGGTTTCTGGCATGCTAACAGAGAAACTTAGCAGGACTTCTTTCAATCATTACTCATAATGTATCTTTTATGGGAAATGTCCTATATTCAAATGCACACTTAAATCATTAACCACACTGAAATGTATTGACCAATACTGGGTCTTCTCAAGGATGCAGATAAATTAGTTAACAGCACTAGTCATCTTTGTTCATGGTAGTTAACAATCCTATTTATCTTTTACTTACCATCTGTTAAATAGATTAAAACTCATCTAATTCATCCCACATGAATAATTCAGGCCATTTATTTTAACTTTATTGATTTGTTTGCCTACTTTTAAAAATTGATTTGTAATTTATATTCAGTAATAGTCACAGATCTTAAGTATACAGATAAAACAAATTTTGACAATTGTATACTTCCATATAATCTCTTCCTTTTTTTTTTTTTTTTTCTCCATGTGATTTGGGTGAAAATTTACAGAGCAAATATACTTTCCATACAGCAGTTCACATACACTTTGTCTCATGACATTGACCACAATTTAGCACAGTGCAACATCTCCTCTCCCACTTCCTCCCGATAGCTACCTCTTCCCTGTGTCCATCCCTCCATGCACTCCTACCCCCTGAGCTGTCTCCCTGTGCATGAGCAGCCTTTCTTTCTCTCATGCTTATTCTCTCCAAGGAGTGTATCTACCTCAGGTAAATGCTCAACTGATGTGCACGTCTATTGTTTTGCTGGAAGCCACAGGTGTGCGTTCAATTCCAGACCTGAAGGGCAGCTAGGGGACATGGTTTCAGTGGTTCCACCAGGCTCCATTGGGCCTGCTTTTTTTTTTTTTTTCCAAATGATTTTGAGTTTTGTTCCACATTGTTCTCCTTGTCTTATCCAGGACCTCCTACAAAGATCCTCTTTCAAGTGGTTGACAGCAGTGGCCGAGCACCATCTATTTCTTCTGGTCTCATAGTCATATAGGCTGCATATCGGATGGTGTACCAGTCACTGGGACTAATTGTTTCCATGAAGTTTTGGTTTTCTTCATTCTTCTTGGCTCTGGACGAGGAGAGTCCCATCATAGCATTTAGATGGCAGCTTGCAAGCTTTTAAGATCTCAGTCGCTGCTCGCCACAGTAGGAGGTGGAACAATATTTTGTGTAGTATGTTATGCCAATTGAGCTTGATGTCCTCTGCGACCATGGTCCTGAGTCCACAGGTTCAACTACTCGGTCCCTCTGGGTAGCTGGCTGTAACCAAGCAGTGACTACAGCCTTGCCCCTTGTCAGCACCATTATACACCTTGGAATTCAGATCATATACATAAAGTTATTGGACCACTGTCTGCCAACCCTATACATGTTATTGGGTGCACTCTCCACTTCATATACATACCTAATTATTTCAGCCTGTCCACCCATCTATCCACCCATGTACCCGTGTTTGCCTTCATTGACCATGTCGTACTATATGTACAAAAGGGTTCATATTTGTTGTCTGTACTTCCCACGTACCTCTCTATGTCTTTCTCTTCCTCACTGCCACTATATTGATCACTCACATTTGGTACATTGCCCTTTTCTTCACCCAAATCAAAACTTATCTCCATCTATCTAACAGTATTCCCTCCTTTCCCCTCCCACCCCTGGTAACCAACAAAGAAAATGACCTTCCATAGATAAACGTTTCCTTGACTATTACAATAATGGACTAATACCATATTTGTCCTTTTGTGATTGACTTATTTCACGCAGCATAATGTCCTCCAAGTTCATCCATGTTATGCGGTGTTTTGCAGATTCTACATTATTCTTTAGCATTGCATAGTATTCCATTGTGTGTATGTATCATAGTTTGGTTATTCATTCCTCCGTTGATGAATACCTAGGTTGTTTCCATGTTTTGGCTGTTGTAAATAGTGCTGCAATGAACATGGGTGTGCATATGTCTGTTTTGTCATGGTTCTCACTTCTTTAGGGTATATACCTAGTAATGGAGTGGCTGGGTCAAATGGTATTTCTGTTTCCAACTTTTGAAGGAATTGCCATACTGCTTTCCACAATAGTTGTACCATTTTACAGCCCCACCAGCAGTGTATGAGAGTCCCAATCTCTCCACATCCTCACCAGCACTTGTTATTTTCTGTCTCATTGAACTTTGCTACTAGTGCTGGAGCAAGATGGTATCTCACTGTTGTTTTGATTTGCATCTCTCTAATAGCTAATGATCATGAGCATTTCTTCATATGTTCGTTGGCTGCTTGAATATCGTCCTTGGTGAAGTGTCTATTCATGTCTTCTGCCCATTTTTAAATTTGATTGTTTGTCTTTTTGTTCCTGAGGTATTGGAGTTTTTCTATAAATTCTGGAGCTAAGAATTTATATGTCTTATGTCATATAAGACATATAAATTTATGTCAGATATGTCATTACCAAATATTTTTTCCCAATCTGTAGA